TATATATATATATATATATATATGTATATATATACACACACACACATTGTTTTAAATATTTTAAAGTTGGGCAGTAAGGACACAAATAAACAAAAAGTTTTGTATTTGTTAAATGTCACAGCTTCTGCTTTTATGAAATGTCACTTATTTGTACCTGTAAAGTTGTTCTTCTTTTACTTTATTCCTTCTGGAATTTTATCTTGTTTACTCTAAATATAAATGTTGAATAGACCCTACAGCATAAAAATAAGAACAATGGACTGTTGTGACCAACTCTAAGCTAATGAAACAGGAAGTGATACATCGCAGCGAAACCAGAATAAATGAGAAGACAAAAAAATGCAAGCAGCATATTAGTAACACTTCCTTTTATTTTTGGATTTGGGAATCAAATACATTTTTTGGCTTGATCAGTCTCTTACCAGGAGGATTTACACACACACACACAACACACACTCGTTTGCTGTTCAAATTCTTCTGTTGTCGTCTGTTCTGCGCTGAGAATCACCATGTTTTGTTCTGATTTGTACCCAGGTAACAACATTTGTTTGCACTTTGTAAGTTCCATGAAAATTGCATTTGTTAAAGTCACGTTGTAAATTTAAATAATAGTTTTATTTATTGGCTTTAGGATTCTCTGTTCAGCTTGCTAAATGTTGCGTTTTGAACTAAATGAACTGTGGAGCCCTTTTATGTGGGTTTATTTGTTATAAAACCAACAAAACAATAATAAAAACTTAAAAACTACTTTATAGAGATACATTTGCAGATGAAATTTATTGTTACTTTAGTGCTTGTGAGACATAAACAAATTAGGTTGGTAACAATATTCTAGGCTCTAGAAGTTTACATACCATCTGTAAGACAAACCTTTTCTCTGGTCTAACGATGATGAAATTAAGAAAAGAGCCTGGATGTTTAGGATGATTACCACTTCAAAGGTCGTGTAGTTAGGATATAAAAATTTATATGAGATCATAACATATGAGATCATGTGTAACTGGCTTGGTTACACATTGCTGGAGTTCACAAGACAATTATGAGTTTTTCAAAATTTCATTTTTTGCCTCCTCCAGACTTTGAATAGCTGCTGTTTGTATTTAAACAGTACTAACGAAAGAGTGTAATTTCCACATCATAGTGAGCCATATTTTCCTACAAAAAAGAACTTTAAGTCAGATTTTTCTCTTTTCAGCAGCACAGTCTGAACTATTTTCTGGAACTAAAACCCACAGTTCAGATCGCACTATGGATCTCGGCCTGGCTGAGGACCATTTCTCAAGACCTGTGGTAAGTTAGCCTCGTTCCCTGCTAAAGCAAACTGGCATTTAAGAAGAACATGGCTGCTTTAAACAAGCGGTTGTTTTGGTTGTTATAGGGTTCATTTGTGGCATCAGACATTGAGCAACTGAAACAAGCAATAGAGGAGTGTAAGAAGCTGATCCTGGAGCTGCCAGAACATTCAGAGAGACAAAAGGACACTGTGGTGAAACTGATCCACCTGCGCCTCAAACTGCAGGAACTTAAAGTGAGTTGAGCTGTAACTGCATGTTAATGGTAAATCAAGGGGAAAGGTGAAAATGTGTTGATGCTTAATTTTTGTTTTAGTTAAAGCAAAAAATATAGTACTTGTGTTGGACTAGAACAAAAATGTGTAGAAGTCTACCGTTTGTTTTTACTGCACTTCTTAATTAGGATATGCAAAAATACCCCCAAAAAAACAAAGTATCATGACATTTTTAGGTTGAATGACAATTTAAGATTTATAACAATATTTAATGTAAAATGGTGTAAAATTTTAGATTGAATTCAAATATAGACTTTCATTAGCTGTACATGTTGCTGTTTTGGACCCTTTTAGGATTAAATAAGAATTGACGTATGTTATCCACTAGTCGTAACCTCCACAACATCTTTGCAAAACATTTTATGTGAAGCATTTAGATGAACGTGGAAGGTTGAGTTTTATTTTGCGTTTTTCTTTTCAAAGGACCCAGAAGAGGATGAACCTAATCTGAGAGTCATACTGGAGCACCGCTTTTCAAAAGAGAAGAGCAAGAGTGTGAAGCAGACATGTGACAAGTGTAGTACCATCATTTGGGGTCTCATCCAGACCTGGTATACCTGCACAGGTGAGACTCACTATACACTGAACAGACACTGTAGAGATTTAAATATACAGTGATCCCTCACCTATCGCTGTAGTATTGGGGTTACTTTCCAGAGATCCCCGTGATAGGTGAAAATCTGCAAAGTAACGGCATTATATTTATTTGATTATATAAACCCTTCCCACACACCTACAAATCGTTCCCACTCTATTATTAACTAATGAATTCAGCAGAGGACCTGAAAATTCCAGCAGATACAGAGTAGTAAGCTTTATTTTAAAAAGCCTGGTGGAAGTCAGCACACGTCTGTGGAAACGTACTGGAAAGTTTGAGACGGAAGAGGATGAGTTAATGGCTGTGGAAGAACTGGGAGCTTAAACAGAGTTCAGAGGAGAAAAAAAAACTAACCTTCTTTTAGAGCTCAGATCGGAGAACTTGATCCAGTGGTTAAACTCACTTCCCCGGGTTGAGGATTGGGGTGGATGGAGAAAGTAGTGATGTCACTGCGAGAGCGGAGTCCTGAGTGGGGTTGTTGCTTAGTTTGGATTCGTCCAGAACTCAGTGGGTTAGTCAGAGAACAGGTAAGGGTCATACACAAGGAGACAGGCTTCAAACTACTTACCTGAGGTTCAGGCAACACTCGGAGGTCGAGGCACAGAAAAAAGGTTGATGTAAAGAAATCAGAAGCTTAGCAGGCGTCTGACTGGGGAAAGGTGAAACAGGAAAGTCCAGGTAACAGAAACTTGGGTCAGTATGAGGAGATCAGTCAGGAGCAAGAGATAATCGCTGGGCATTTACTTGCTTAAGACTTTCAGAATCTGGCACCGGTTAGAGAACAGGGGAGCGCTTAAATGCTGCACCACCAGGTGAGAAGAATTATGCTGATCACAGCGGAGCAGGTGAGTGTGGTGAACAGACAGGCAGGAATCAAGAGTTTCCCACTCTTATAAACGTGTCATATGCTCAAACACTTTGGCAATGAAGATGATGACAATGGGATGAATGTACAGTACACGCAATATAAAAAAAAATCAGGTTTAAAAAACACGCAACTCAGTGAAGCTGCAAGAACCCTGTTACAGCGAGGGATACCAAAAACAACAAAACACACCATCATGGTTTGAATAGAATGACTTAATTCTGATTATTCAAACATCCTGTCTGTATAGATAAAAAAACACATGCTCTGGAATGTTTTATCACTGCTGTACACTTTAATGCTGATAATGGTTGATATGAAAACACAAAAAACTTAGATGCATGTTCAGAAACTCACTTTTAGACCACGTATAGATTAGTTTTACCTTGAAGTGATTTCAACTTCACTACCATCATCTTGTCAGAAGAAACATTCCGCATGACAAAAATCACTACATTAATTGTTCCCTGATGTGAAACTTTAGATTTGTTTATTTAACACTACATTAATATCCATTAAAGTTTTAATGCTGTAAAACTGTCTTAATAAAATCCCTCCCTCCGCATGCATGGGGAGAACATGTAAGCGCCACACAGGCAGACCTTAGGCAGGGAAGTGAATCTGCAACCTTCTTGCTGTAAAATTTATACTGATGATCATTTTAAATAGTGTTTGTGTTGTGAACTTATAACAAATTTTAAGCAGTTTTTAGATCTAAAACCAACTGTAAGAATGAGGAACTAAAACAGAGTCGGCGTCAGGCTCTGCAGAAGAGGAAGAGCATTGGAAAAACCTGAGTTTGTTCAAGTAAACTTCATAATAAGCAGGTTAGGTGGCTAATATAACTCAGTATATAGCTGTCTCTCTCACAGGAATAAAAAAAAATGTAGATTTGCTTTTGTACTTTTCAAAAACTTTTGAGTTGCACTGAATCAACTTTTCATGCATCTGAGCCAGTGAAAGACTTAGTCACTTTAGCTGACTGCTAAAACGTACAATTAGTTTAAATTCAGCTCCTGTCATGACTGTCATTGTGCCTTTTTGTTTTTCAGGTTGCTATTATCGTTGCCACAGTAAGTGCATGAACCTGATCACAAAGCCCTGTGTCAGGTCAAAGGTGAGCCACCAGTCGGAGTATGAACTCAGTATCTGCCCAGAAATAGGACTCGATCGTCAGGACTACCGTTGTGCAGAATGTCGCGCACCTATTTCACTGAGTGAGTTCAATTTTACAAAGTTCAGTAGATTTGATAAAGAAAAAAATGTTTTCAAAGCTTTTTAATTAGGGATGGGGCCAATCCGGTATCGGCCTTTGATACCAGCATAATTTACGTATCGGATTTTTCCGATCCAACCTGCCGATCTTTCCGATCCATGATGCATGCCTGTGTCTGATGACCTGCTCTGCAGGTTGGCTTCAAACTATGGAATGGATTTCCTGAACGGAGGCATGTTTCATGAAGCCCAGAGTAATGAGACCTACATCACATTCAGGAAATCCATTTCATCGTTTGCAGCTACAACGTGAGTAAATGCTCTTTTGAGGGCTGAGCACTGAGCAGCACTGTTGCTAACGGCTAACCAACTTTTCATCGTAACGTGTCCGCTGTGTGAAAGTATTTTACACTAAACACCGCAAGACAGCAACGTGCAATGTCTGCAGAGCCGCTGCACTGAGAGGGGAAGCTCGGTCGAACTTAATAAACATTTGAAAAAGCACCACATTAAATCGCACGAGGATTGTTTAGCCAGGCACCGCGGTAAAGTTAGTTTTACGTTGGATGTTCGAGCTCCGTGGCTTCAGCGGTGTGTTTCTCTCGTTCAGTCCGAAGCAGACAGTCTGATTTCAGTCAGACGCGCTCAGAATGCCCGTCTCGGAGGAGCCGACTGAGCACGCCCAGAAACGCGATTTTTGGACGGTTAAAACGGATTTTAAAGAGAAAGGGAGGGCTCAGTGAAGAGCACCAGAGTTGAGCTTTTTGTCATCCATTGTCTTCAGTAGAAAGAGAGACACAAAGACACGATAAGCCGTTAAATGAAAATGTGGTTGATTAATTTTCATTTATCATGCGATTAATTGATTTATTGTTTATTGCGACAGGCCTACCGACACCTCCGCTGCAGTTTTTATGACGCTCTGGACACTTGTCACTCATGCAACAAAGAGTATAAACTCATAGCAAGAGCGATACCCGCCCCTCTTTTCCTCTTTCGCTTTAACAACATTTTTAGTGTTTTAGTTTGTCAAAGCACAATTTTTATGTTTTTTTTGTGTAAATGCAGAAGTAATGTTTAATAAATGTTAGCACTCTATTCTTTGCTAACAAAACATATTTTATGTCATTAAACAACTTGTCAGGTTCTTGTCTTGTGAGCATGTGCGTTCCACAGGACCCACCCCCCGCTGGCCCGCCTGCGTTCCAACATCGATCGGTTTACAAATGAATCGCTGGTTACAACTAGGATCTCTGACTTAAATGAATGAAGCTGAGATGTGGTTTGATATTTTACTAAGTTCATGCCTTCCTTTTATTCAAGTAAATGCAGCATATTTATCTTTCAGGGGGTGTACCGAGTGAGGCCCGACAGTGCGACTACACAGGCCAGTACTACTGCAGCACGTGCCACTGGAACGACACCGCCGTCGTACCTGCTCGTGTCATTCACAACTGGGAGTTTGAACCACGCAAGGTATCCTCAGCAGCCACACCCACATACAATCAACATGTTGACAAACATCAGGTGCTTGGAGCAGTTTGTCAGCAGTTTATGTGGTGACATGACGCAGGTCTCTCTTTATGATGGCACCTAGTTGAATTTCTCACTTTGCTTGTGTCGTTGTAAATGATCACATGCAGAGTAATTCAACTTCAGTTAATCTTCCTGACTTGGAACTCAGTACAAATGGAATGCACCAGTTAAGTGTTGACTTGTGGATATTACTACATAATTAGATCAGGCTGTATACTTTACTATGTTTACCTCTAAAAAAGACCCACATCTGCAGCTGTAGTAATATGACAATATGACCATTTTGTACAAGAAAAAGGTTAAATCATGTCATCTGGACCAGTTTCTTTGAAATGAGAAACGTTTCATCCCCCATCTAGAGGACTTCGTCAGTCTGCGGCCTGCCAACCAGATCTGTCCCATTTGTTGTTATCTATCTGGATGATTGAGCTTACAAACCTTTTTTTTTTATTTTGTACAAGGCACAAACAGAATAAATGTACAAACTCTATCATACTGTATAGAAGCACTCAGAAATCTTTAGACCCTCCTCTAATCTCATCAGTTTGCTGGTTAGAAGGAATACCACAGAAACTTTGAGCTGTCAGTAGCTCAACGAAGGAGCTTGTGATGTTTGGAAAAATAAATCCACAAGATACAGTGACATTTAAACCAGATTACGAACAGAAATATTAGTTTATGGAAGCTAAGCAGATTTTACAACCCTTTTTAAAAATTTAAATTCAGGACAGAAGGAGCGTTGCTCTCAAATCACCGGGTATTTCACAAAACAATGTGTGTTTGTGAAAACGCTGCATCATTGCTGCAATGATCAGTAAACTTCTAAAAATGATAAATTACCATATTCCTTTTTAGCTATGAGCACAAAGGTCAAATGAAAAGTGAAGCTGGCTAAAGTAACAACGTGACTCTGTTTCAGGTCTGTCGCTCCTCGTTGCGCTATTTGGCACTCATGATGTCGCGTCCGGTGTTGAAGCTGAAAGAAATCAATCCGCTGCTCTTCAATTTTGTGGAGGAACTGGTTGAGATCAGGGTGAGTAGTTTGAATTTTTTGCAAGTTGAGTGAAGACCTTCAAAAGAAATGTATTTTTTTCTATAAAGACATTAGTTTATTTGCACATGTATCCATGTCTTAATGTAGAGTTCTTAGTCTTTGGAACGCTGACGACTCTTTATTGCCCTTTTCACACAACAGCTTTTAAACCTGGAGTTAAACGCCATCACTGAGCATTAGTGTGTGAAAATAAGACAGTGGGATGGAGAAAGAAGGCTTTTCCACTGCCGAGTTGCCTCTAAGCTGCCAACAGAGGCAGTCACAGGCTGGAGTTGGTGTTATGTGTAGTGTGAGTTAGGATGTGCTGCACGTTTCTCTAAGCAAAGACATTTTCACTCGCCTTGTTTGGTGTAAGCACACGTTGGCATAAAGCTGAGTTTGAATGAGATGGAACAACAGCAGCTTTGAGCTGTCTTTATGCCAATAAGGCACAACTTTTATGTGAAAAGAGCTACTCTTTGTCCTTTGTGCAGGCAAATGATAATTAGTGAGGAAAACATGCATTTTGGTATGAATTGTTACAAACATGCAGGGAGAGAGAACTTGCAGCTCTTTGCATTAAGATAATCTGTGTGTGTTTGTCTTTCGGTGCTTCTTACAGAAGCTCCGTCAGGATATCCTGCTGATGAAACCCTATTTTTTAACTTGCAAAGAGGCAATGGAAGCTCGGCTGCTACTTCAAGTCAGTAACTATTTAAATGATCTATTTACCAAATAACTCAGAGCTTTGTTTGAATTCTTAAACAGTCATTCACGCTGACCGCTGTAAAATGTTTCATAACACCGCCACCTTGTGGTGACATATATTATTGCTCACAGGTTGTTGACATGCACTATGTCGATATCTCATTATGAGAACAAGTCACTAAATACACCGTTTGTTCGTCAGCTACAAGATCGACAGCACTTTGTGGAGAATGATGACATGTACTCGCTGCAGGATCTGATCGACATCTCCATCGGCAGACTCGGCTGCTCCCTCACTGAGATCCACACAACTTTTGCTAAACACATCAAACTAGACTGTGAGGTGAGCTCATACTGTAACGGAGAATTAAAATATGACATTTTAACATTTTATTCAACAAATAAAAGAAAATAGGCTTGTTTTATTTAAACTAAACTACATTTTAAGCGGTTATTTAGAGAGTTGTTACAGCTGTACATTAAATCTTTTGACAGTAAGATAATGTACCTTTCTTTGATGTATTTTGAATGTTTTGTATTAAGTGATGACAATTTTTGATATTGAATTTGCAAATGCCTGCTTAGAATTGCTCCTATGTCCAGACTTTTCAGTGTGCAATAGGACTGAACAATTTTGGAAAATATTCTAATAGTGATTATTTTTACATCAATATTTAGATTACGATTTAATATGCGATTGTTTTTCAATGTCTTCTTCTCATGTATTTTTCAACAAACACAAGCAATAAATCAATCTGTTTCCGTTGCAAAAAAACTCCACTGTTTTCAGCTCAGCTGCAACTCTTGTTTTTGCATTTTTTTTGCTTAGCTCCGGGATAGCAACTTGGCTAAAATGTGTGTTCGAGAGCATTCTGTACCGCTTCGCCATTGTTTACCAAAGCCGTAAACCCAGGCTTGGTCACTATATTAATGGGCATCATGTCTTTTACTATGAACTAGGGCTGCGCCATATCATATCATTCACGATAGTACCAGTAAAAAAAACTTGCCCGGGAAAATAAATGATATGATATACTAATTTCTTGGCATAAATACGTCATCCCAGCATGCAGTGGTCAGCAGATTACGCTCGCGTGGGTCATGCAGTGATATTCAAATTGTAAAGGTGAAGGCATGAACAGACGCATCAGAGCTGAGCGCTCATTGTCCCAACAGTTTTTGAGCCGGTCAGCGTGAGGGTTCAGCGTCAGGGAAGACGTTGCTTTTAGCTTTTTAGCTAGCGCGCAGCTAACTTGGAGCCACGTCAGTGCAAGCGGGTGGGGCGGGGGTGCGCGCAGTTCGGTTCAGTAGACTGTGCGCTCGGTTCTGTTGACGCGGCAGGGCACCCTGCTTGTATAATGTAGGGGAGACACTGACTATACAAGTCGGACTGCGGAGCTTTACTTGAGTCTCACTGACTGCGAACAGTGCAGCTCAAACCTCGAGAGCAGCTGCTTTCTCGAGGATCAGGAAATTGTCTAATGGCTGTTCAGCAGTCCTTTCAGGCAGCATTTCATTTGTTTCTTTTATAGAAAAATCTATAAAAGTTAAGTCTGGTCCTCTGGACATTCAAAAAACAAAACAAAGCAAAACAAAAAAAATGTAGAAACGTTTCGTCTTCCATCTGAAAGACTTCCTCAGTCTGAGGTGCTGTATTCAGCTCAGTCTTATAAATAGCACCTTCTCAGAGTGGATCAACTGTTATCGTAAATGGCTTTGTGCTGTTTTTTTAAGTGTTGATAAAGATTCGTGGTGTTACCTCGTTGCGCAGCGTCTTCTTTTTTTATAGCCAAAATAATCCCAAACAACGGACGTGCTGCTCCTCTTTGGTACCAAACTTTCAGATGTGTCAGCGTCTGTCGAGCCTGACACCATCGTGCAACCGGTTAAAACGCAGCGTTGACTTCTCCCGCTCCCTGCTCTGCTTTGCTCCGCTCTGCTCACTCGCAACTCACGTGACCAGTCAAATTGCAGCCTTTGTGATTAGAAAATCATATTGCGATATTATTATTGCAATTGCAATTAATTGTTCAGCCCTAGTTTCGAATTGGTAACTTTCTACATCATTTAAACTACGGTATATAAATATGACTTTATCTTGTATGCTCAATTGAAACGGGCCTTTCTTTAAGAATGAGCTTCTGCGTCTCAATTAGGTTACTGGAATAAATTAAATTAAAACAAAAGAAAACTAAGGTGTTATACAGGTTTGTCCACATGATGTTTTATATTAACACACAGACTACATCATCGACGGAAAACACGTTAAAGCTGACAGTTTAATTTTGCCAGCCAGTCAAATATTTATTTGTCTTTAAGTGTAAACTTTATATAGAGACTTTTAAAGAGGAGTAGTTTGGTCTTGTATGTTATTGGTTGGAGGTCTTTGGAGTTTTATAAATTATCTTTGCATTTAACTGCATTCAGTTGCTCAAAAACATAATTTTAGGATGTTGTGCTTTATTTAGTTTGATTGTAAACAATTTTTTATAAAAGTTTTCAATTTCTGGTGAGGGGCTTTGAAACATCTGTAGTGTGGGATGAAGTGTATTGAATCTGTCAAGAGTTATATCTGTGTGAAACTCTTTTTTCCCCCTTGTCCTTCTTGTATGCTCGCTAAATGTGTGTGTGCGTGCGTGTGTGTGTGTGCGTGTGAAGCGCTGTCAGGCCAAAGGATTTGTGTGTGAGCTCTGTAAGGAGGGAGACATCTTGTTTCCTTTCGACAGTCATACGTTGGTGTGCCAGGACTGCTCGGCTGTATTCCACAGGTTAGTCGCCTCCACCCATTCAAACTAAAACCAACAACTGTTATATATTTATATGGATTAAAATGGAGCCGTAATGGAAAGAAATGCCTCAAAAGTGACTTCAAAGAAAAATAAATAAATAAAAGGGTTTGTCTCATGTGCTCTCTTGTCTGGGCTTTAGACTTTCATGTGAAGGAAGCAGCATGTTAAAGAAACGGACGATAATCGCTTTGATTTGCTGTGCGTCTTTAGAGATTGTTACTATGACAACTCCACTACGTGCCCACGATGTGCACGGATGACCGAGAGGAAACAGGACGAGGTGCCAGATCAGAAGGACGGTGGACTCCAGAAATGAAGACTCTTGCTCACCTGTGGATCCAGGAGATTTGGTCAAATCGTAAAACTACCGTCAGGCGTTTGTCTTGAGCGTTTCATGTTTTCTAATGTCTCAATGAATTTATAAACCCATGTGTAATTAATTAAATCTTACATTTAGTAATAACTGTTGATGTGCTAAATGCTCTGTCTGTATGTGAGTGTTTTCGTTCATGTCTGCTCGTATAAATTTACAGTTGTAATGTAATTTGGAGGAATTATTTCTCAAGGACAAGTTTCTGCTCAGTTACACCACATGGCCAGTCTGCAGACTTCTTAAAGGCTGTCCTGTCTTACAAAGTACCGAGTATTTCCAGCTTCTAGTTCAACAGAACACAAGTTCTTCAGTATCCTGTTTGATGGTTTTCACACAACGCTAAAATCGAGCTCAGCTGACGTCTCTGGGAACCGTTTTGTTTAAAGATGGTGTCACTAACAGATGTTGTGATTAACTGTGTGATCGTTGTAAGTTTTCTTTCTGCAGTTCACTCTTTGATTTAAACGATGACTTATTGATCTGTTTTAAGATTTTATCAAGTCTTAAATTGATATTTTCAGGCCTTACTGTTATTTTTACAGTCAGCTCTCCCACATGTTTGACACTCTGGATGCTAAACATATTTAAAGCTGATGTGTCAAAAACATCTGTACATACAGTTACGTCCTGACAACATATATTTATTTATTCATAGCATGTATCTACAGCACAGTTTCAACTAAGAGGTTTTCCTTTCATTTAAAACTGAACATATTTGTGTTTTTTATCTTTCTGTGCCATGCAGTGTAGCAGACAGCTGATCATGCTGTGTGCGCTAATTCTGTTAGCCAAATGTCTTAATACCATCAAGTCAGTTCCTTCAGTCTTACAATACTGAGAACAAATTCTGTCAAGAGGTAATATATATATCACATGGTGAAGTTGTGTAAATGTGGACTATAATTGTTGAAAATTATATTTTGGCTGTTTTCAGCAGCATGATGCACTGTTCATATTTTTTATTTGAAAGCCATGCGACATCCTTTCACTGCATGAATAAATTCATGAAATTCATTTAATCTGGGCTTTATTTCACAGATTGGTCATCTAACGGTGGTAACGTTCAAATTATTAAAGGCTTTAACTCCTTGAAGTAATACATACCTGCTGTGCCGTCGTTTGCTGGCTAAGGTCATTTATGATAACGGGAGATGGAGTCATAGCAGTTTTCTGCTGTTTTAATTAATATTCTGATTTAGAGATTTTTTTATTTATTTATTCTGGGACAGAGAAGTCCTCTGATTTTCCTATTTGACTGTACTTGAACAGGACATATGGACATTAAAACCGCAGCTCTGATTCATTTTTAACCAATAATTTAAAAAAAAAAGTAAAAATAAATGTTGAAACTATTTGAGTTGAATAAATTTCTCTTTCTAATGATTCTTAAAGGGTCTTAAAGCCAGGAGATCATATAATTTCTTTAAATCCCTTCTTAACATTATGTAATCTATTTTGGACTAATAATGAAATTGCTCTCTTATATTCATCTTCTCTGTTTTGATTATTTGTGACACCTCATCATGTTGTGGGGGTGAAATAACAAACACCATGATCTCTTTGTGATTCCTGTCAGACAGCTGCACAGGAGCAGTCAAATATGTTTTTATTTACAGATCACTTTATTGTATTAAATCACCGTGAAGACAAAAAGTCATTAACATTGTAATGTAATCTGTGCTGAAAGATTTTATAGAGTTTAAGAACAGACTTATAAAAGATGAATTAAGTCAAAGCACAGCAGATGAAAACATTACACTTTTATTAAACAATCATATAAAACATTATTAACAGCTTTATATATGTACAGCATATTAAAAATGATTAAAAAGTACCTTTTAGGACGAAAAAAAAAAAAAAAAAGGTCTCGCGATAGTGACAGTTGTTTAAAAGGTGCGCTCTTCTGGTCCAATGAGCGCAGAGCGCAGCGTCCCCCCGGCCGATCCAATCTGCTTGGGCTTTAATTGTTCTGCTGCGGACTGAGAGGAACCACATCCAGGATCTGGACCGGTCAGGTGGATCCCCTTCCTGCAACAAACCTGACATGGGACTCTTCTCTGCGAGCGCGTGGCCCCTTCGGCACCGAGTGCGCACTGCTGGCTGGGTCTCAGCCACTTTCTGCATCTGCAGGACCCCCACTTTGGTATGATGCTGTTTTTGTTTGGTAGCAAACTTCTCAAAGTGCTTCTTGTCAAATGCTTTGGTTCGTTATCACTTTGTGGCTCATGCAGCTTTTCTGCAGATGTGTCGTGGGAAAACGGTCAACTTCAGAGCACACATCAACCCCTGAAAACCTCAAAGAAACAAACAAACTGTCTGTGTGTGTGTTTATGCATCATTCCTCAGTTGTTTGGGCTCCCAAGAGAGGCAGAGGCTCCGTGCGTGTGCTTATGTAATTTATGACAACTTCCTCAGTTTCAAGATGTTCTTTCTGCAGCTCATCTTGTTCATGTCATCCAGTTCAGTTGAAGTTGAAACCTGGAATTAACTGTAATTAATTAGAATAAAGGTTTTTTTTGCATGTTATGTTGGATAATAGAAAATATTTAATTATAAAAAAACACACAAAGTTTATGAACAGTTTTCTTGTTGAGTTCTGGGGGGAAAATGTACATGAGTTCATTCTTATAAAAACTTCTCGCTTGCATTTGAAAGTAGGTTGTTAAAAGATTATAATGACTTTATAAAATCAGATTAAACAAGACACAGTCCAGAGTACAAAGAATTATTGAGATTTAAATAATCCTGCAAATCATGTTTGGAAGAAACTATAGGCAGCGTTGAATTTGTGACAAGTTCCCATGGCACTGTGAGGTGTTTCTACTAATTGTGTATTTAATTGTATTTTCATCTTTATTTTAAAAGAAACTGCTCACTCAGAGAAGATGTGGAGGATTTAACCGACGTGCGTTTCCACTGACGCGGTCATTCTGCTCAAACAAACCACCAAAAGGTACGAGAACAGTTCTCTCTGCTTCCTTACGCTGCTGCACGGGATAATGAGTGGAAATGAGTGCACTCAGTGACCCAGATCATTTTGGCCTGTCTGAGGCATGTCATTATTTTTCCTTTTTTGTTTACAAGTTTTGAAAAGTCCAACTGCAAAAAATGTAGAAAGCGGAAAAAAAAACATGGATATTATTAATAAAAAAAGCATTTTCATAACTCGGCATAATATTATTTCCACTGCGTTTTGATTAAAATTTAATGCTGTTTAGGTGAGAAAAATAAAGAGAAGGAGTCTGTCGGAAGGGACAAGCAAGAAGCAAACGATGATGGATACAAAAAAAGAGGAGAGAAAAAGGAGGATTCTCATTGGTGGACACGATTTCAGGTGTGAAACCATAAATCAGTAGCATCTTTTCAGGTCATTGATTAAACAACACTTCAACTAAAACATAGGACTAATTTAACATCATTTAGACAAGTAAAGCTCTTTTTACGTTTTAATGTTTGGTTTGTGAAGGTAGGATGACTAAAAGTTGATGTTTTTAGTCTAATTTTTTATAACACACAAATATTTGACTATACATTAGTCCCTCGCTACTTCATGTTTATCGCGGACTCGCTCTATCACGGTTTTTCAAAATAAGATTGGCCATGACACACAATTGGCTGACTGATGGATGAGCCGCACGATCTGCATGGAAGTTTTATTTAAAATAGGTTATTTTAAATTATTTAGCACTTGTGCAGCCCACACTGCAGGAGAACCTTCCTGCTGCAGCTGATCAGCTGTTCGCCATGCAGAGCGGAGAAGTGGGCGTGGCCAATATGCTTGCAGGTGGCAAAGAGCAGAGGAGGCAGGGAGCTGAAATCATGACATGCTCTTTTAGAGTGTTTTAAACATTTAGAATATTTCAAGAGTGTGGGAAGGGTTTAAAGTGCCTTAATATATATATATATATATTTATATATAAATACTAAAATAAACTACTACTTGCTACTTGTACTACTAGTCGTACTTGGCGTTTTTTTCACTTATCGCGAGTCTTCAGGGTACGGATCCCCCACGATAAACGAGGGACTACTTTGGTTCAGTTGCCAGCTGTCTTTGCTAAACTAAACAAGTCAACTGAAGGTGTGGAGGACGGTGCAACAGTCTTTTGCTTTAGTGTAAACGGTGTCTTTATGTCATGTTGAATAGAAGTGCAAACACGTGTGACAAAATACCAATCAGGCTACCATTCAGGCGTTCTGCTCTTTTTCCACTAAATTTCACGCATCAGAAATATTTTCCATTTGACAAAAAGGCCGTGCAGAACCTTGCAGTGGGTGCAGCCGGCATGGCCACCGCCTTCCTGTACTTTCACTTCCGAGGAGTTGGGGTCCAGATCTCCTGGAAGGATTTTGTGCACCGTTTCTTGAGCAGAGGCTTGGTGAGATTCCCTTCATATCTCGTCTCCGTGTTTGCAACAATTATAGAAATTAATTTTTGCTGTCTGCGCAGGTTGGTCACATCGAGGTCGTCAATAAACAGTATGTCAAAGTGTTCCCAGCCGATGGAGTGAACTCATCAGAAGTGGTTAGTAAGAAGAGACTTCCACAGAGGCTGATTTCCATCTGAGGAGACCCTTATTGTGTAGAATGAAGTGGTGTGTTTTGTTTTTGTGTTCCAGAACTATTTGTGGTTTAACATTGGCAGTGTGGACTCGTTTGAACACAACTTGGATTTGGTTCAGCAGGAAATGGGTCTGGACTCCACGCAGAAAATACCCGTCCTCTACACCAGTGAAAGTGATGAGTGAGAGACGGAACTAGGAACTTATATAAAAAATAAAAAAAAACTTGTGGATTTACCTACTAATATTGTTTTATTTTTTTTTCTTCCCACAGAACAATTTTTTTAAGGGTCTTCCCAACCTTACTCCTGGTGGGCTTTTTGTTTTTTGCGATGCGGCAGGGACCGATGGCCGAAGTGTTTGGGGGCAGTTTAAGAGGAAACCCTTTCAGGATGAGTGAATCCAAAATCAAGATTATTAAAAACAGCATCAGTGTTCGTTTTAAGGATGTGGCAGGGTGTGACGAGGCCAAGCAAGACATTCTGGAGTTTGTCAACCTCCTAAAGAACCCAAGTCAGTATCATGACTTGGGAGCCAAGACCCCAAAGGTCTGTTAATTTTTATTTTTAATACTAGATGCATGATTCTTGGGTAATTTTTCAGGTAATGTCTTTATGATGACCGGTCCTTTGTGGTGAAGAGAGAGCTGAGCTGTAAGGCAAAGCTCTCTGTTTACCGGTCGGTCTATGTTCCTACCCTCACCTATGATCACAAGCTCTGGGTAGTGACCGAAAGAATGAGATCGCAGGTACAAGTGGTTGAAATGAATTTCCTCCACGGTGTAGCTGGACTCTCCCTTAGAGATAGGGTGAGAAGTTCAGTTATCTGGGAAAGATTCGGAGTAGAACCGCTGCTTCTCCGCATCGCGAGGAGCCAGTTGAGGTCTTATTCTCCCTAGGGAGGTGCTTCGGGCATGTCTGACTGGGAGGAGACCCCGGGAAAAACCCAGGACACGCTGGAGAGACTGTCACTCGGTTGGCCTGGGAACACCTTGGGGTCCCCCCAGAAGAGCCGGAAGAGGTGGCTGTGAAAAGAGATGTCTGGGCCTCCCTGCTCAAGCTGCTGCCCCTGAGACCTGACTTTGGAACAAACGGAAGATGATGGATGGATGGATGGATGGATGGATGGATGGTCTTTATGATGGCAGCACAGTGGTGCAGTTGGTAGAGTTGCTGCCTCTCAGTGAGAAAGTTGCCAGATTGAACTCCAGTTTCCTCCCACAGACCAAAAAACATGCATGTTAAGCTGATTGGTAACTCTAATTTGGAGAGAGTGAATGTTTGTCTCATTTGTCTTTATGTGTCTCTGTGATGGACTAGAGACCTGTCCAGGGTGTCCTCCATCTCTTGTAAAGTGGCTGTTGGATATGGGCACCAGTGACCCCCGTCAGCCGAAAAGGAAGAAGCGGGTAAATATAATGGATGGATTGATGGATGTCTTTCTGTTTTCAGGGAGCTTTGTTATCAGGTCCACCTGGAACGGGGAAGACTTTGCTGGCCAAGGCCACAGCAGGAGAGGCCGACGTCCCCTTCATCACAGTCAGCGGCTCAGAGTTCCAGGAGGTTTTTGTTGGTGTGGGCCCTGCAAGGGTCAGTTCTAATCTCAACAACACCATTCATGGTTTGGCTGCACCGTCACACAGGAGTTGCTTGGATTTTTGTGTTCATGATCCAAGTTTCACTTTGCTTTCCTAGATAAGAGATGTGTTTGCCACAGCTCGCAAGATCGCCCCTTGCATCGTTTTCATCGATGAGATTGATGCAGTCGGCAGGAAAAGAGGCAAAGGGAATCTCGGCACCCAAAGTGAGCAGGAAAACACTCTGAACCAGTTACTTGTGGAAATGGATGGTAAGCAGTTATAACATCTTATTCAGGGCTTTTTAAAATTCTGGATATATTTCACAGAGCCAAAGTGTGCTTCTTGTCTCTGTGAATGCAGGATTTAATAGTAGCTCCAATGTCGTGGTGTTAGCTGGCACCAATCGAGCTGATGTCCTCGATCCTGCTCTGATGAGGCCAGGACGCTTTGATCGACATATATATTTGGGTAAATGTCTTGTTGTTTAATTCCCTTTTATTACAGGTACATCACATTACATGTTTTAATCAGTTTGCTTTATGCGACACAATTAGCTAAATTTTTATTTTATGTGGAGATTTTTTGTTCCAAACCTGTTTTTTTTTCTAATGCTGAATGCTGTACACCAGGTGCCATGCTACAAATGCAGTTCCCTGTCTCCGGTGTGCACGTTGTCACAAACATAACTTTGTTATTTTTTTTCTGCTTGAGATGAGGTGCTGAACTCAACCATGACTCCATCTTGTTATAAAAACCATTGCACATTGCATGCTTTGGTCTTTGATGGAAATGTTTGATCTTCTTGTTGCCTGCTGCTAAAATCTAATTTGCTTGATGCTTGCAGTGCATGGTGGGTAGGAGGACTGGTTTTCTCTCTGACAAAGACAATATGGTCACAATGAGAGAGCAGTTTTCTTATTTTATAAAAGAAATGATAAAAACAGAAAGCCAACAATTTGACTCCTGTATACAGTTGACAGCTGGATGATGATTGTTTTTTTTTTTTCTTCACTCAACATTTATTTATACAGGTTAGTCTCACTGAGTCACAAGGACTCATTTCAACAATTAACAGCCATAAAATGCATATAAAATGAAAAATAAAAGCAAAAATAAAAACAGCTACATTATGAAACGAGGTAAAATACTAAAAACAGGATGCTTTGATTTTTTCATTGAACTTAACAGTTGTTTAAAATCCCTTAGAGTTGTCAAAGTCAAGAGCTTCAGATCTTTTTGTAAGGTGTTCCAGCAGGAGCAGAGTAGGAGAAGGCCCTTTTGCCGAGTTCAGTTTGCACTGAGGGGACGCTGCAGGTAATGATGTCTTGAGCTGGCTGTGGCTGAGTGGTTAGAGAAGTTGTCCTCCAATGCAAGAGTTGGGGGTTCAATTACATCAGCAGTCACATGTTGAAGTGTCCCTTGGGCAAGACACTGAACCTCTCATTGCCTCCGATGTGTGTCCCATTGGTTTATGAATGTGATCTAAAGCACAGATTATTCTTTGGATAGATATAGTAGAGTGCTGTATGAATGGGTCAATGAGGGCACAGATTGTAGTGTAGAGAGCTTTGAGTATCTCGATAAGATAGAAAGGTGCTATATAAGTACAGTCCATTTCCCATTCCATTTCTTGAGAGCGCACGCTGTAGCTGCACTGATGATGTGACATGTAGGTGGAGATGTATGAAGACCAAGGAGTGATTTAAAGATGAAAATGTACCTGTGTGAGAGTCTGCGTGAAGTTAACGATGACCAGTTAACCAGTGAATACAAGGTGCAGTGATGGGTATGGTAGTTACAGCCATCCATCCATTATCTTTTACCCGTTTCTTCCATTTTGGGTCATGGGGGTCGCCGGTGCCCATGTCCAGCCATCACTGTGTGAGGGGCGGGGTACACCCTGGACAGGTCTCAAGTCCATCACAGGAACGGTAGTTACAGCCAGTTCTGAATATTAACGCACCATGATGGACAGCGTCCAACATTTGTAAGATGCTTGCAGGAGGATTCATGTAAATAATGTCACCATAGTTAATGGAGGGAAGGAAAGTAGCAGGCATTTCCTAGCATTCAGAGTTAAGCAAGATCTATTTCTGAAACAGAAACCCAATTTTAATTTCAGTATCTTTATCAAGTTTTTAACATGCAGCTTAAAAGAGAGATGTGCATCGACCAAGATTCCCAAGTATTTATAAGAATCCACAAACTCAACAGGAACATCAGTTATAGATAAGATAGAAGGAAGGACTGCTGGAACCGACTTTCTGTTTGAAAACACCATCCCTTTGGTTTTATCAGCATTTAGCACCAGTTTGAGATGGAACAAATTTGACTGGGTGATGTCGAATGCAGACTGTAAAAGCTGGAAAACCTTAGCAAATGATTTAGCTCGACAATAAACAACTGTGTCATCGGCATATAAATGTAAGGATGCATCAGGAATGTTCTGACGTACATTACTTATGTAGATTGTGAAGAGAGTGCGTCCTAAGACTGAGCCTTGTGGTACACCATTATTGGCAGTTAAATACAAGTTAGGATGGATTGAAGTTAGAAAGAATCGTTAGTATGATTTGTTGGTTTTAAAAGTTATTTCTATCATTTCAACTTTTTTTTTTATGGATTGTGATTAAAATGAAAAAATATTACATGCTGCTTATTAAAAACTGGCAGAGGTATGTGTTTGAGTCTTGAAAATGACTTCCCACACTCTCTGAAGGGGATCAACCATCAATTTAAAAATATATCTGCAAATTCCAGGCTGCCATTAAGCATTAGAGACTTTATAAATTAGCAAAAAAAAGTCTAAAAATGGTTATCACAACTTTTCCAATACTCAGCTCCTTTATTTTCAGTGTCATGTTTCTTTTGCTTGACAAATTCAAATGATTTTACAGCTGGTCTTTCCACAGTTGTGTTGGCTGTCATTATTTTTTGTTATTTTTTATAACGTGCTTTGATGTGCCGTGACATAAAAAGTCTAACACGCTCTTTTTGCTGTTTTCTGCAGGTCTGCCTGGTATAAAAGACAGAGCGTCCATCTTTAAAGTGCATCTGAGACCTTTGAAGCTGGACCCCAATTTAAATGTAGAAGCTTTATCCAGGAAATTAGCTGCACTCACTCCAGATCTTACTGGTAAGATCTCGAGTACTCTATTCTTACAACGCAGCTATAAAAACGATTGTTTTTATTATTACAGAAGCTGATAAAGGACAAGCCAATAAATGTATTTATGTCATTATCTTTAAATAATTATATATTTATCTTATCTCAAGATAGAGCTAGTGTTTTTAATTAAAAATGTTAAATATTTTAATTGACCCAGGAAAACTTATTTTTTTGTGATAACTAGAATCTCTTTGAAAGTCCAGATTCAACTAAAGATGTACTTCTTTGTCAGACATCAGGAGAAGTCATGACGGCAACTAGTTGAATCTGAAACTGTCACACCAGAACAGCCCCAACCCATGAATATTTTACCGTAACAGAACATCTACAACTTTAAAGACAGGGATGCAAAATGATAAACTCAAGTTACACAAAAACATTCATTTTGGCACTGTAATCATCTTGTTAGTTTCAGAACACAAAGATTGAAACTATAGTTATCGTAAGAGAACTGCTCAGAAAATATTAACAGCAGGTGCAGCTCTTCTAGGTGTCCAGAGCTATTTCAGGTAAATTAAAATGAATTCCTCAGCTTACATATTTTACAGCAGTTACTTATTTTTTTTTAGCTGTATTAACAGATAGCTGCTACTTTATGAATTTTCTTGTGTGCTTCAGGAGCTGAAATAGCTAATGTTTGTAATGAAGCGGCACTGAGAGCTGCACGTCACCTCAACAGGTGTGTCGACACTGAGCACTTTGAGCAGGCAGTGGAGCGGGTCATCGGTGGTGAGTTTACAAACAGCACTGGTTACCTTCAAACTAACTTCATGTCAGTGACATTTGCTCTTTTACCTTGACAGCTAGATGGTAATCTTTGCCATAAACACAGTAATAGGTGCCTGCCATGCAAATGCATGGCAGGCACCTATTATTCTACACCTCGGAAGTGTGTCTACATTTCTATCTCTGTTAATGCGGCCCGAACCACTATTCCTACAAAAGTTATATCAAAACGACCGGCTTGGCCCCGTGATGTGTGCTATTAATTTTATTGGCATTTTGAGTTACCATGGCGACATAATTTGCGAACAAAGACGCAATATTTCACCATCTCCAGGAACTAGTTGGTGACTGCCCACTTATGATTCTACACCTGAAAAGTGTATCTTTTTCAACTTTAATGTGGCCCGAAGCGCAACGTGGCCCCCGACAAAAGTTATATCAAAACCACCGGCCCAGCTCCGGGAAGTGTACAAGTACTTTTTTTGGCATTCACAGTTACCATGGCGACATATTTTGCTAACAAAGTTGCCAAATTTTACATAGTAAATGAATAAGAGAAAACTCTTCACAGAAACTGAGTAACGTATGGAGCCATTTTGGCTCAACATGCAAGGAAGGCAGTGCATTATGCACTGCATGGAAGGTACCTATAATCACCTATATTATTATTATTAATTAGTAATAATAATAATTAAAATAAATTATTGATGTTAATAATTATCTAGTTTAATATTAATACTTATTCATATTAATAATTAATGTTTGATATTAATATTAATTATTAATATAATATTAACATAATTATTACTTTGTATTAATTATAATAAGTTAATATTAATTAATAATATTAATAATTAGTAATGCCATAAATATTAATATTTATTATTAATAATAATTTAATAATAAATAGGCAGTCTCCATCAAAGTTTCTCCAGGAACTTTCTAGTTTGCTTAGTTTGTTCTTGCTTTTCAAATAGATCAACCAAGCTGATTTTAGAATCTTATTTAACACCAGCGTGTCAACATCAGTTTCATTTTAACTGCATTAACAAAACAATGTTATGCAATCTTTTTAAAAGGAGCTGTAGTACTTCACGCATCGGTTCTAGTACGCTTGGATCTATGCCGCAGTATAATTCTGCAGGATGTCCTCTTTGCCTTCAGGTGTGGAGAAGAAGGCTCAGATGCTGCAGCTACTAGAAAAGACCACCGTGGCGTACCATGAGGCCGGTCACGCTGTTGTCGGCTGGTTTCTCGAGCATGCAGACCCACTGATGAAGGTTATAAATCCACTTCCTTTCTGCTTCATCTTGGGCAAACTATTTTCATTCTTTCTTTTTTTTTTTTTTACCTTCTTCAATTAACTACCCCTCGATAATTACATTAATGCACTTCAGTGATTGAATTATAACTTTCTCCACCAGGTGTCCATTGTTGCTCGAGGAAAAGGTTTGGGTTATGCTCAGTACTTACCAAAGGAACAGTACCTGATGACCCAGGAGCAGCTGTTTGACAGAATGTGTATGACGCTCGGCGGTCGAGTGGCTGAGCAGGTTTTCTTTCAACAGATCACCACCCGAGCACAAGATGATCTCAGGAAGGTCACACAGTCAGCGTACGCACAAGTAAGCATCACGCCTCCTTTGTTGTATTCAGACTCGATTTCAAACCTCATGACCATCATGATATACTATACAGTACTATATATATATATATGCATTCAATAAGAATCTGTAATGTTTATGAAAACACGCACACACAAAAATTACAACAACCCAAAAAAACCACCCAATTTTTCCCCCCCACTTTAGGTAGTCCAGTTTGGAATGAATGAGTTGGTGGGTCAGGTTTCTTTTGACCTCCCCCAGGAGGAACACATGGTCACAGAGAAGCCCTACAGTGAGTCTGCAGCGCAGCTCATAGACCAGGAAGTTCGTTCGCTCGTCGACACCGCCTTCCAACGGACACTTCGGCTTGTCGTTGACAAGAAAGAAATGGTAGAAAAGGTGATTTTTACTCTTTGCAAAGGTCTTTATAGAAAAAACCCCCACGTATGACAGAAGAGAACAAACTTGTTTTGGTTTTTTTGAATGAGGAAATGTTAACACTTTTAAGATAAGTCACAATAATCAATGCTGTTACTTTGACTCCACAACCTTTGTTTGTTGTGTGCGTTTGTTTTTCTTGTTTTGGCTATAGTAGTCCCTCGTTTATTGTGGGTGTTAGGAGAGATGAAAAAAGTCCCTGTGGGCATGCAGTGCCAGATCTACGGTGGCACGTCCCTGCTTGGAAGTCCTCATGGACCAGCTACCAGCTCTTGAGATTCACCGATGGGTTTGGAGGTCTGATTCTGGTCCGGTTCTGGTCCGGTTCGGTGGGTTCCGTGCAGCTTCTCTGCATCCACTGGGTGCCGAAGTCACTGTAAAGGACCAAACTTTTTCAAGTCAGATCAAAACTTTCCCTCTAGTATTTCAGCATAAGAAAACAGGGCTTCTGGGTGGGGCCTTGTTGCCTTCTGGGAAATGTAGTTGTTATGAGTGGGGATACAATGTAGGCTTATTGAGAGAAAACTGCAAAATGGCGGCACCTGTCTGAAGTATTTTATTTTTCGTTAACTTTTTACTGTACAGTATCCAGTACTGTCCCAATCATGTGAGTACTATTAAAGTTGACAATCATGTGTTCTGTACAATTTTTGTTTAAAAAAATGTTAATGTGCGTTGACAAACCGCGATATAACGACTCCGCGAAAGTCGAACCGCGAAGTAGTGAGGGACTTCTGTATTCCCTTCTTCAGGGGAACTAATTCGCATGAAGACTTGGCAAATTTTATTTTTTTTTACGTCGGATGCCCTTCCTGACGCAACCACAGACCACCGAGCTACCACAGTCCTCTGTGTGGAGCAGAGAGCTGCCATCTAGGGTGCCCAGGGGAGCAGATGGTGGGGTTAAGGGACTTGCTCAAGGGCCCAGGGTGGGGCAAATGAAGGTGGAGGTACTTCACCTTTCACATCCACATTTTGATGTTGTCAGTCCAAGGGGTCGAACCGGCACAGGCTCCCCCTCTCTAACCTCTGCATCAATTCACTCTCACATTACATCAGCTGAAACCTTGTTTTGATGTTCTTCAATCATGGCAGGTGGCGAAACGTCTCCTGGAGGTAGAGACTCTTGGCAGAGCCGACATGTTGGAGCTTCTGGGACCGCGACCCTTTCAGGAGAAGTTCTCATACGAGCAGTTTGTTGAAGATTTGGGATATTTTGAAATCAAAAACCGAAGTGCTGAAGAGGCTGAAGTAAAGAAATCCACTCTTTCCCTGTAGGCAGTCCTGCAGGAAACATCTTCTGACTCCCGTCATTCTTGTCAAGTGGAACAATAACTTTTTTAGTTTTTAATATAGTTTGAAACTCTGACAACACTTTCTAGAAGCTTTGTTTATCTTTTTTACTCTGAAAGGACATTATGTCTCAGTTCCAACCTGTACATTGTAACTTCTTTTAACTTGACTCCTATTTATAAGAAAACATAAAAGTGAGAACTTTGTTTTAAGATTTGCTCATCGCACATAAAAAGTTATTATATCACATTTACTTTATGTTATTTAAAAATGTATGTCATTAAAGCTTAACTTTCTGACACTACCTCACCATCAGGATTATATTCACTCACAGCCATGAAAAGTGTTATAAAATACACAGTTGCCATGTTTGTGCTTGCGTCTGTTAGCAAAATATCTTGTGAAACACTGGATGGATGTTAACGAAACTCTCAGAAAGTAGTAAATGGATGGACATCTACAAATTATTAACTTTTAGAGTTATCCTTATTCAAGATGGCTGCTACAAGCCATCAGTGGTAACCAACACAAAAATAGCTATAACCCAGTCAATTTAGAAATTAATGAGCTAAACTTTGGACTGGTAGTAGCTGAGAGTCATTCCCAACACATAATTCAAGCACTACTTTATCACAAAAAAATCTTTGTTGAAAACTTTAATATGCTGTTTTGCTGTTTCCAAGTTTTGTGTTGATAACTTTTTTTATTCATTTAAAGGTTCATAAAATAGGTCAGAAAATGAAAATAAATCATTTGAGCTTGTGTTTTTACTTTCTGCTGTCAGTCATTAATATGACAACATATATTTAAATATGTCCCTGATTTATGGCTGAATCATTCCTTGTTAGCCAGGTGAAAAAACAAGTTACTGTTTTCAACCGTTTTGTTTCATTTATTAAATAATTATTCTTAAAGAGATGCAGTCTCACACTGCCTTTAAGTCTTAATCATTCCTATGTTTTTGTACGCAATGAGACTTAAAATGATACTTTGCAGAATGAGTGTTTTTTAATTTTCCAGCTGACAGAAACATTTTTTTGATCTAGGCGACGTTTCCATTTCAGCTGCAGTTTATTGAGATTTGAAAACTGACAGAACTGTGGCCTGCACCAACATATTAAACAACTTTTACTCTCTGCTCACGTCTCATTAGTCTTAGTTATAGCTCTGCTGTTTCATTTCTGAAAATGACAAAATATTGATTTAAAACAAATTTATTTCAATGTTTTTTGTGTGTGATGTTCTTAGATGTCAGTTTTGTGGGAAACGTTGAGGTTTGTTACACTTTGAAGGTCATTTTAATCACGTGGGAGTTCATTTAGTCTTAAAAACAATAATTTTTTATCACAATAATGTAACATAGACGTATTTAAAGAGATAAAGCTGTTTAGTGGCAAGCCTAAAAGACTTTAAAACGAGATGTTCTTTGTTACACAGTCCATGTTTTAAGTTTCTATTGAGGATGCCAAATCGCCTGTGCATTGTCTGTGCATCCTCACTGATTATTACAGTCCCTCGTTTATCACAGGGGATCCATACCCTGAAACCCTGTGATAAGTAAAAAACTGCAAAGTAGGGATATAGTAGTTCAAGTTTAAATACAGTAAACTTTATATTAAGGCTTTATAAACCCTTCCCACACTCTTGCAATGTTCCAACTCTTAAACTTGTCATTTTAACAACTTTTTTTTTCTTCTTTCGGCTGCTCGCTTCTTTAGGGGTCACCACAGCGAACTAAGTCACACAAATTGTCATTTTAACAACATATGTTGCTAAATTTTACTTACGGCTCTGCAGAACAACAAAAGCTCTGGTTCTGGTCCAACTCTGTTCTATTCTGACTTGGTTTGTTTCTGCAGACCTATCCTGCAGCAATGAAGCCCGCAAATCAGTCCTCTAAACTCTTAAACCTACTAATTTTAACCACATACACTACTTATATGTACAGGAGCTACTAAATTTTACTTATAAGGGCTCTGCAGAACAGGAGTGGCTCGGTTTCGTCCAACCCGATGGATGAAAAAAGTCCCGGTGCAGCATGACTGAAGCCCACCGCTGCTGCTCCAGGAGCAAGGTTGCCCAGGATTTAATCCACCACCTCTGGCCCGGTCCGGACTAACACTGCATGACCAGAACCTGAATTAACTCTGCAGCTATCTTTCGCCTGCAGCGCCCAGGATCCAGGTCACACTGAGTCCAGGTCAACTTCAGCCCATGAGCAGTGAAGATTCAGCTTCAGAATTATTTGGTTCTTTCCTCCTGCCAGTTCTGTGAGCTTATTATCATTACTTCTGACTTTGGTTGCAAAAGTTTCCCTCCGTATGCAGCAAGCAGCAGTTGGAAGCAGTGTTGACTTCTGGGAAGTGAACTGATGGCTTCTGGGTAACGTAGTTCTTTAGACTGGCAAAAACAGTGAAGGCTTAACAATCATGTTTACGTGACTGTTAAGTTTCAGGGAAGGGTCCATTATCACTCCCAGATTAGAAACTCTTTGTTTTTCTGACGGGCAGAGCGGAGAGGTCGATACAGTGGTTTGTGATAGTGTCGTTGGGAGGGAACAACATGACTTCAGACTTCTTTTCATTGAAACTTAAGACATTTAAAGCCATCCAGTCCCTGATGTCAGCTAGGCAGTTGAGCAAAGGTTGAATAGAGCATGTGCCATTGTGTCTTAGTGGGAAGTACATTTGACAGTCATCGGCGTAGAAGTGGAAGGGCATGTTGTGTTTCTGGAAAATAGCGCCAAGCGGCAGCAGGTATAAAGAGAATAGGAAGGGACCCAGGATAGACCCCTGCAGAACCCCCCATTTAAGCTCTGCCGCTGCAGAACTAAACTCCTTGATGGAGACACAAACAGATCTGTCAGTGAGGTAAGATCTGAACCAATTGAGGACTGACCCTGTGATGCCCACCCACTTGGTACACTCTGGTCTTGGTCTTGACTTGGTTTTGGATTAGGTGGTCTTAACTAATAGACATTATCTTCACTGTTACAGTTTATTATCACACAACTATTTTTGTAAGTTTTACATAAAGATAAACAACAGAAGTGTCCTCACTGATATGGTGTACTATCACACAGCTTTTTCAGCACCAGCTGAATCCAAAAAGCAGGAACCAATTATCAAAAATCCAATTAAATATGCGTCCTTAAAATCCACAAATGGCAGCAGAGATAAACGCATCATCAAGTTTTCCAGTCGATGAGATATCCAGCTGCGTACGTGCCAACAGGGTAAATCGGCTCACCCAAAGCCTGTCTTCTCTTCGAAGAAATGTTGTAAATTGAGATGAGGGACCAACTGGTCAACTGGTCAAAACAAGTCCATAATTATGGTTCGGAAGAAATGCAAGAGAGTCTCACAGCAATTTCACAGACAGACAGAGCAGCAAAGCGGAGAGGGAGGGGGAGAAGCATCCGATCTCGTGGGGAGCGAGTGGTGAAGTGATATATAATATATATTATATATATATTATATATATTATATACATAATAAGTCTCTCCCTCCGACGACACGGACAGACTGAGCGTGGCTGACCGAAATCAGACTGCCTTTTCCGGACTGAACAAAAATAACAGACCGCTGAAGCCCCGGAGCTCGAATGTCCATCATAAAACTAACTTTACCGCGGTTTATTGCGGTGCTATGGCCCTGCAGACATTGCACGTTGCTGTCTTGTTTTGTGGTGTTTCTAGTGTAAAATACTTCCACACAGCAGACATGTTTAGTTGAAAAGTTGGTTAGCTGTTAGCCACAGTGCTGTTCACTCAGTCCTCACGTGCTGGCTGCAAACTATCAAATGGATTTCCTGAATGTGAGGCGGGTCTTGTTACTCTGGGTTCATGAGACACACCTCCGTTCAGGAAATCCATTCCATAGTTTGAAGCCAACGTGCATCATGGATAAGAAATATCGGCAGGTTGGATCGGAAAATCTGATGCGTAAATTATGCTGGTATTGGAGCCCGATACTGGATCGGATCGGCCCCATTCCTAATATATATATATATATATATATATATATATATATATATATATATATATATATATATATGTATACACTAAAATAAACTGCTACTTACTGTTTGTACTACCGGTACTATTCCTGCTTTGTGGTTTTTCACTTATCGCAGGGCTTCATGGTACAGATTCCCCACGATAAACAAGGCATTACTGTACATGTAAACTTTGTGAACTATATAACGTTAAAAATAAGCAACGTGCCGTCTTCTGTTATGGTGTGTAGCTGCATCTAGGCATAACAAAGATCCCTACGTAAAGTAGTTTTCCACATCAAAATCTTGTCCAGAGAAACACTCGCCTCTAATTCTACAATTGTTCACCATACAAACCCCTCTACGACAGGGCATATGTGACCCCTGTCACTCATCTAACTTGTCACTAACGTCGAGCTTCCAAGATATTTAAAATGATCCCCTTGGTCATCTGTTGCCCGTTGATGTAAGAGTCGGGCCTTTCTCCCACATTCAAAGTTTCTCTTTTGTTGTTGAGCCAAAGCCCCATATTCTGTGACAGACGGTCACATGCATGCAGAAGAACTTGGAAGTGGAGTATGATGTCATCAAAGTAGTTTGATCTGCCAAATATCTTAAGAACCACTGGATCTGAACTCTTTATCTCTCAGAAAGTAATCACTGAATGTACATGTACAAGTGATTGACTTTAGAGTCATCTCCTGGCCACCACAGCTAGGCACACTAGCGAAGGCTAAATACATTTGTCATATTTAGATTTGTCATATTTACAGATAAGTCCTATGAGTCTTGGCTCCGATAACTCCTTTATCTGAATTAGGGATGCACCAATCCACTTTTTTTACTTCCGATCTGATCCCAATACCTAAATCTGAGTACCGGCCGATACCGATCCAGTTCCGATATCATCATTGATTTTATATGAGGCTGTAATAATCTCCTCTCAAGTACATTTTGTACAAATATATGCATGCATGTCCAAAAAGGCAACTTGAGGTAAGTTTTATTAATGTTGGATAAGTTTTAAAGTTAGAATTAAATTCTGCTAACACAAAACATGTTTATTTTTATTCTTAGTTTTAAAGTGGATATTAAAGTGATTAATTTAAGTGATTGTTTAAAGTTATTTTATATTTTATAAGGAGCAGATATAAGAATTTTTTTCTTCTTTCTGCACACTTTTCATTCAATGTTTTCTTATTGATGTTTTTTTTTTTTAAATTTTGTTTCATATAAATGAATGAATAAATTAATTAAATTAAATAAAATGTTAAATGGCTTCAAACATCTGCTAAGTTCATGGCATAAACCAACAGAAATGTTCCTGTTTTTAGTATTTTACATCACTTTATAATGTAGCCGTTTATGTTTTTAATATATATAATTTTCAAATCATATGTTTTTTATGATTGTCTACTGTTGTACTGATAAACATCTCCTGGAGGGTAAACTATATCTTGACTGCAAGTATCAATCAAGCTGTGAAATCCTTCGTTTTCTACAACTGATAGTGGTTGGTTATTAATTATGATGAAGTTTAGCAACTTCTCAGTAAACATTCGAGCTCCGTGGTTTCAGCGATGTCTTCTTCTTGTTCAATCCGAAGCAGGCAGCCTGATTTGGGGCAGCCGCGCTCAGTCTGTCCCTCCTCAGAGACGGGTAGACTGAGCGGGGCAGATTGGACGCGGCTGGCCGGGGTCGAGTCGCCTCTTTTGGTTTGACCAAAGAGTACTGCCCCGCTGAAGCCACGGAGCTCGAATGTCCATTGTAAAACTAACTTTAACGTGGTTTAAAGTGGCGTTGTGGCTCTGCAGACATTGCACGATGCTGTCTTGTTTTGTGGTGTTTCTAGTGTAAAATACTTCCACACAGCAACGTGCATCATGGATCGGAAATATCGGCAGGTTGGATCGGAAAAATCCGATACGTAAATTATGCTGGTATCGGAGGCCGATACAAATACTGGATCGGATCGGCCCCATCCCTTATCTGAATGTATGCTTTCTGACTTAAATACCAGCATCACACAGTTCCAACCATATAGATCTCCAATGTGAATGTCATGTTGTAAAGCGACATAGCCTTACCAATAGTTGTGCAATACAGTGTTTCCCTGGCAAAGTGAAAGCAAACTCTTGGTCCATAAAGCCGCTGCATAATGAGACAAACAGTCCTTGTAACCCTCAGAGAGTCCTTAGAACAGTTGAGTCTGAAAACACTAATGACCGAGTCCAACACAGATGGGCCTCGTCACCTTCATGTAGCACCAGTCGCTATCAGTGATTGTTGATGCTGTTTTTCAGAGGCCAGACACCTGCTGAATCTGACTTCCAAATCTTGGAAATCGCCCGTAAACTGGAAATGTACGGTGTCCGCTTCCACCCAGCAGCCGATCGCGAGGGCACCAAAATCAACCTGGCTGTGGCTCACATGGGGCTTCAGGTTTTCAGGTAATCACTGCTTCAATATCAGCTCTGAATAACACACGGCTATTTAACAATGTTGCTAACAGCCATAAGTATTTTTTATCATTTCTCCCACAGGGAATCACAAAAATAAACACCTTTAACTGGTCCAAGATTCGCAAACTGAGCTTCAAGAGGAAACGATTCCTGATCAAAGTCCACACAGAGGTTCATGTAAATTTTCATCCAAACTTCTAGTTTTCTCCTCATATTTGACTGAAGTATTGTAGTACTCGAGACCGGTCTTGGTCTTGAGACTGGTCTTAAGACCACTTTTTGATGGTCTTGTCTCGGACTCGACTGCATTTGGTCTAGGTTTTAAATCGATCTTGGACATTGAGGACTCGGGATTTTATTTCAAGACCAGTCAAGACCGCATCTGTGGAAGCATCATTAAATTGCCAGAATATTGTCCAGTTTATTTGTCAACATCCTTGTTTTTATTGGATGCAAAACGTACTGATTCAAATCCAAGAGATAACGTGACTCATTGCTAAATTCATGTTTTTGTTACTGCTGTCACGCCCACCCCCTTTCACTCGCATGCGGTTCTATACCAACAGAACAATACAGACAACAGAAAGCAACATGGCAACCAGGGATGAAAGTAAGCCGGTACGGTCCGGTACTAAAATATTCTGTGACGGTACGCAGTACCTGGAAGAGAGGGGAGCGTCTGTCTGTTGTAAAATCGTCATTTAGAACCAGTCACGGCTGCAGGTTAGAATAGATTTGCTAACAATAAGCAGTCTAAAACACGACTTAATCAGTTAATAAATTGCTTTTTTTCCTCATTTCAAATTATTGCTGAACTGTTCGTGCTATGCTGGAGTCTCAGTTCTCCACCGCGGTGAAGTTAGTTGTTGGACGTTGGACATTCGAGCTCCATGTCTTCAGCGGTGTGTTCTTCTCGTTCAGTCAGAAGCAGGCAGTCTGATTTCAGTCAGCTGCGTTCAGTCTGCCCCTCCTCTGAGACATAATGGTTCACTTAGGAACCGTCAACAAATTACCGAGCCAAACACTCTTCAGAAACAAAAATTAATACCTTTTACATCATTTTGACCCACTGATACAGAACTAATGTTAAACTACTCTAACAGACCTGACACACAAGACACCATCATTTATTTCTCATTTTAAAGCTTTTTCTAATTAGTTATTGAGTGAAAACCCTGAGTTTTGAACAAATAAATTATGCAAGATTAGAAAATGCTTTAAAATGAGAACTAAATGAGGGTGCCTCATCTGTCAGGTCTAGTAGAGTAGTTTAGCATAATAATAATAATAATAATAATAATAATAATAATAATAATAATTATTATTATTATTATTATTATTATTACTATTATTTAACTGCCAATAATGATAATTTAACTGTCACTAATAATAATTATTATAATAATATAATAATAATTATTATTATTATAATTTAACTATCACTGATAATAATAATAATAATTTAACTACCACTAATACTAATAATTATAAATTAACTGTCACTAATAATATTAATAATAATTTAACTGCCACTCGTAATAATAATAATAATAATAATTTAAGTGTTACTTTTTCAGAATACTTCCACGCAGAAAGTCCGTTTAACTTTTAAACAATTCATAAAACATTCAGCCATAGACGCATGCTGTTTTTAAAAAAAAAATACATCTGTGATCTTTTTAATTGTTTTAGGCTCATTTTAGCTTCTTTATGCTAATTTGAGCTTTTAGGTTCATTTTTTTAATCTTTTTTTCATTTTTTGAGGTTTTTTAATTCATTCAGCTTCAAGAAGTTCATTTTTTTCTGCTAATTTAACCTTTAATGTGATCATTTTGACATTTTTCTGTGTTTAGTTCAGCAAACATGCTTTAAGACTCTATCTGCTCATTTTAGTATTTTAATAGTAAACAACTACAACAACAACTACCTATGTGTTGCCATCATTGTTTCTATACAATGATGAAATTAGTTCTCTGCATTTAACCCATCCCAGCTGGGATACACCCAGGTGGAGCAGTGGGCAGCTATTGAGCGCCCGGGGAGCAATTAGGGATTGTGTGTCTTGCTCAGAGACACCACGACATGTGGAGATGGAGGGGAGTTGAACCACGACTTTCTGGTCCCATGTCGGCTGCCCTGCCTCTACAACATCTCGGCCCCATAAAACAGACTGCGTCGGCCGGGAATCGAACCCGGGTCAACTGCTTAGAAGGCAGCTATGATAACCACTACACCACCAACGCAAAGATTAGATGTCTTGCTCAAGGACGCAACATATGAGCATGGCAGGGAAATCAACCTGCAACTTGTCATTTGGATTCTGTGTTTTGATAGAAAATGCTAATTTTCTGGTCTAGACTGTCAGACAGCCAGGCCATGGTCAATAAAAATAAAAACCAAGACAAGCTGGCGTTTATTCAGTGTTTTTAATAAGTTTCTCTTTCTCAATTCAAATTATTTTATTTAACTGAGAAAGAGATCAGGACGTGGAGATACTCAATCGCTCTTAGTCTGACCCCTTCTCTGGACTCATATTTGTCTTGGGGGACACTAACCAGGACAAAAACCCAAGACCACGTAGCCCAAAGGAACATGGGGTGCTCAAACTCCCCCACCACGATAAGGTGGCGATTGTGCGGAGGAGGTGTGTTTTTTTTTTTTTTTTTTTTTTAATAGTTTTTTTTATTTTATTTTTTTTAATTTATTTATTTTTTTTAATAGTTTTTATTTTTTATTTTTTTTATTTATTTATTTTTTTTTAATAGTTTTTTTTTTTTTTTTTTTTTTATTAAAATTTTTTTTTAAAGTGGTGAACCGGAGTCCCCGGAAAAAAGCCACTTCTGTTGGGGGGGGGGAACTGAAAACACCTGATGGAACTAGAATCTGAACCAGATGTCAGTGTGAGCTGTCAAACAGTTTAGTGTTTATCTTTGGAATGATGCGAAACACTACAACGATAAACGTGGTTCAAAAGGTCTGTTTTCGATGGTCCTTGTTTTCTCACCCCTGAGTCAGTCGTCCTCGGGCCTATGAGCTGAACAGCTAAAAAGCCGAATGAACCAGTTCTTTTTCTTGTTTTTCGGCTTTTTCTTTTCCAGCGCATTCATTTTTGCCTCGAGATGCAGAAGTTGGGCGTCCATGTTTCCAAGTTGGTCGTTCAGAACAATGGACTCTAGATCAGACTTGCATTTTGGTGTGTTTTGCAAATCTGCTTCCACAGCCTCAGCAGAAGACTCTCTGATCAGAAGACCCTGTTCAGTGTTGAGTTCCAGTTGGTCCACGTGGTGAACCTCTGGAACCTCACTGACAGAGTCTTCTACTGGGTCGTCTTCTGGACATGTCTGAGACACGTCTTCTGGGCATGTTTGAGACATAGTGTCCTGTTTGGGAGGGACGCTGTCTCTGTGCTGCAGTTCTTTCGTTGCAGCTTCAAGCTCTTGTTTTAATTGATCAATCATACATTTTGATTGATCCAGTTTGACTCTTTGATCAAACTCTTTGTGTTCTAGATCTTTCAGGTCACAATTAGCTTGTTCCAGTTCTGACTTGACCTGAAGACTTGATTGTACGATGTCCTTGAGTTCACAGACCTCTTTCATACAATCAACCTTTTCCGCATGGACTCTGTGAAGCTCAGATTTTAGCTGGTTTATGGATGCCATCGCTTCACTAAGCTTCATTTCAAAGTTGTTTAGCTGTGATTCAGCTTCAGTGCTAGCCTGATGCTCTTTAGCTTTATGTGCAGCCAAGTCTTCATTCAGGCTAACAATTTGCTTTTTCACAGCCTCCAAACTGAATTCGGAGTTACCTTCTCTCTCTCGAGATGCAGTCAGCTCCTTCTCAGTTTTCTCCAACTTCTCTTGAAGTTCAGCATTTTTCGCTTCCAGCTGAACGATGTGTTCGTCCGCAGTCCGTTTCAAAATGCGAACTTCTTCGAGTTCCTCATGCAGTTCGAAGGCAAGTTCCTGGTATTCAAAGGATTTCTTGCCAGGAGCTCGTTGGTGTCTTAACTTTTCAATCTCGTCCTGAGCTTTATAGAGGTCAGACTTCAGAGCCATGTTTTCATGAAACAGAGCCACTTTGTCAACATAAGGAATTTTCACAGGAAAATTTTCCTGTGTGTTGGCATATGCTCCGGGGTATCCACGGTAATCCCTTTGTCGCTGACGTCTTTGGTTGTTCGAACCATTCTCAACTGACCAATCTTGGTTCTTGTGACCTCGACGTTTGGGTCTAACAGACTGGTCTCCAGTCTGGACGCGCTCTCGGGCCACTTCAGCTTGCTCTGCGCTTGGCTGAGGGCTGCTCTGCTCTGCTCTGGGCTGAGGGCTGCTCTGCTCTGCACTGGGCTGAGGGCTGCTCTGCTCTGC